TCTGTCTAGGAAATTACCAAACTCCCTTGGGAAAATAAGGAACTTACAGAGTCTCTGCTTCTGGCATCCATGGGCCACATTCCTCAGAATGCTGAGGATGAAACAGCCTTGGTGAATAGTACCCTTACTTAGGGAAAGCCCTTAACTCTTCCATCTCAAAGTGAATTACCTGGCTGATCGGGCCTCTCATTATGTCTGAGCTCCTGCAGATCAAAGTGGACCACATGTGGTCCTGTCTAGACTCCTGAACCCGCCAAAGAGTCAGGCAAGAAACTGTAGCTCCAGATTCAGGAGCAAGAAAAACATCAGGTGCTCACGGTCACTGTGCCCACGGGATACTCCTCTTAGAACACTGATATCTCACTAAACAGAGGCCATCGGATCCAAGGGGAAGCTCTCAAAGCTCTCTCTTGTGGTTAAAAGCTACTAGGCCAGCGGACCCCAGCAGAGCTAGGCATGAAACAAGAAAACTTCGCTGAGGTTGAACACTGTAGTGTTTTTCCCTCTACCCTGCCCCCCTGCCCTTAGACAGTGAGATGTGAGAGTGTGGCACCTCAGAAAGCTAAGGAAGATGCCTGTTCTTGGAGCCTTCCTTTCCAGTCCTCTCTGAAAAGCTCTTCTTCCAGTTGCCTGAAAGCAAGATCTGAGAAAGACCTTCCCTGCTCCCTCTACCTCACTTGCCCCACTTTACCTTGACTTCAGTTAACCAGCACCCTTCTTGTACTAGTGTTCCAGTGTCCAGGAATGGAGCTTCTGCAATGTTGCTCTTGTCAGTTCCTAAGAGTAGATCTTGTTCTATTCCTGCCAGCTAGTGGACGTGAGTCCTAATTGCCCCTTGCCTCCCACACAATTGGATATTCTTTGAGCCCCTCCTGTATATGTGTATGTGTAAATGTGTCCTCTGATCCCTTTTTCCTCACCCTGATTTTTTGGGGGGATCTTGGAATACAATGGCATATTTCACGCTTCTCACTCTCAAATGTTTTTTCATGAAAAGAGTTATTTTTGTAACTGGAAATAAAAGAAATGCATGATATGGTTTGAGGAGAAAGAAAGAAAGAAAGAAATATAACTTGGAGTTAAAAGACCTGGGTCCAAGCTCCAGGGTCACTATTTACTACTGCCTTATCACAGCATACATTTTTATACCATTTTAATATTTACAAAATATTTTCCTCAGTAATCCTGTGAAGCAGCTCATTCAAATATTATGCCCATTTTGACAGATGAAGAAACTAAGGCTCAACAGGGTGAAGTGTCTTGCCTAAGGTCCTGTTTAACTCTATATACTGTACATTCAGTCAGTTATTAATCTTGTCATTTTTATTTCTGCAACATTTCTCGCATCATGCCCTTCCTCTCCAGTTCCGTTACAACCATGCATATTTAGATCCTAAATCAAAATCCTAAATTTTGCTTCTAGCCTATTGTAATTATGGCTTCCTTACTAGTAACCTTGCTTCTAGGTTATCTTCCCTCTAATTCACTCTTCACATCAGTTGTTCAAGTAATTTAAAATTAGACTGCTGATTTAATTAGATCATGTCAGAGACCCCTCCCAATTCTGAGAATCTTTTATTCTATAATCTTCATAATGTTCACCCCTATAATAATGTTACTCCTCTATTGAATGCTTTCATGACTCCTCATTGTCTCCTAAATGATTATAACCAAACACCTGACTCCGGCGTTCCACAGTCTGTCTCCAGTCTTTCTGACTAGCCTTATTTCATACTATTCCCCTTCTTACATTCTAAAGTCCAACCAAACTGGACTATCTCTACTCCACCCCACCCCCTATTCTTGTTCTGTTCTTTCTGAACTTTGCTTACACCATTCCCAATGCCTGGAATAAATGCCTCCTATCTCTTCTGGGCATTCTCTTTCTTCTCCTCTTCTGGGCATTCCTTCAAGACCCAACTCAGATCAAGACCCAACTCAGATTCCACCTTTTCTATGAAAATGTCCCTGACCCCTTCCCCTCAAAACTGAAACTGATCTCTCTGTCCTCTGATTCATAGAACTTAGAACCCTTTCCTCTATACTTACCACACTTGCTTTTGTATTGTAGTTATATATTTATCCTTACTCCATTAGGTTGTAAACTATTTAAAAACTGTATCTCTGTCAAAGAAAGAAATATATGAGTGGAAAAGAAGATAGTCTAGCCAAGGGTGAAAAATGAGAGATAACTAATAGATAGCCTTTTAGGAAAAGGCAGTATATAAAAATCTACTTAAAAAAACAGACACTAAAGGATGATTATGTATGGTACCAATAGATCCTTGTTTGGAAAGTGCTTTGTGAAGCTTAAGGTCTTATTGAAATATGAACCCAGTATTACATTTGTGTTCCTTTGGACACAGGTGAAATTCCACAGTAATGACAATTGCTTTTTGTACATTTCAGAGCACTTTAATAGCCATCATCTCACAGGATCCTCTCGCAGTGTACCAGTGAAGTCAGCAGGGCAAGGATCATAGATTTAGAGCTGGAAGGGATCCTGGAGGTGATCTAGTCCAATAAAGGCTTGCCTAAGGTCACCTGAATAGTAAGTGACAGAGCCAGGAACAGACCTCTGCTCTTTTGTGTGCTATTTCCTTGACGCTGGGACTACAAATGATTTTATGGTCGTGAAATTTGTTTATGATGAGAATTTGTCAGAAGATACATTTGCAGTATGTTAGGACTAAAGATTAAACATAACCAATAAGCAGCATGAATCAACAGATGGAATGAAATGTTTTAAACAGAGGAAGGCAGCTGACGTAGTGGAAAGAGCGCTGTATCTGAATCATAGAACCTGGAACTGAGCTCCGTCTCTCCTACTTACTAGCTCCTTGAATGTGGATAAACCACTTCAGTTCCCTCGTGTCTAAAAGGGGGATAATAAGGCTTTCAGTATCTACAGGGGTCTTGTGAGGAAAATACTTTGTAAACCCAAGAGTGCCATAGAAATACAAGTGAGTGAGCTACTATTAGTGCTAGCATTAAGAATAAATTATAATTTTTTTCATCTGATTTCTTGGCTTTTTAGTTGGAAATTTGGAAGGGGTAGCAAATAGAAATAAAATCTGATTGGAAAACTAGATTTTGACACATTTTTATTTTCAAATGTTTTTCCTTGTTCCTAAGCTCCAACCACTATAAAAATATGTAGCGTTTGAACTGCACTCATGGTATACCAGCACACAAACAAAGAGTTTAGTAATCTTAGAGGAAAGTGTAGAAAGAGTGAAAGATGAGGAACCCACTGATTTGCTCTGTTACCTTGAGAAGGTCACTTCTCTCGGGGTCTCAGTTTCCTCTGTAAAATGAAGTTGGACTGCATGAACTCTATGTCTCCTTCTAATCGTGCCATTGTCCCTTCTAAGGTCTATCCAGACTGACCTCTGGTGTTTTTATTGATAAGCAAAGAGGAAATAAATGCATTGACTCAGAGCTTGGCAAAGTACACAGGTTCTGGAGTTAGAGGAGAGGGGTTTACACTTATCACCTGGATCATCTTGAGCAAAATAACTCTCTGGGCCTCAGTTTCCTCCTTTGTATAATAAGAGGTTTTGGCTGAGTGATATCTGAGCCTCATTCCAACTCTGGTTCTTTGATGCTATCATCCTGTGAAAGTGGGAAGGACGTGGACCTTTTTGTTCTGTGGGAGGCAGTGCTACATAATAAAAGAGCACTTGACTTGGCCTGGGAAGAGCCATGCATTCAACTCAGCTCTCCAATGCAGAAAACTGTGCTTGGGGGAGTTAGTTCACATCTCAGCCAGTTTCCTCGTCTGTGTAAAATGGGGATAATAATACCTTATAGTGCCTGCCTTACTCTCTACTAGACAATTCTCTAAGATGTTAATTTGCCAAGAAAATGCTAACCTACATTGGTAGAGAAAATTCCTTGCTGGGAGCTCCTTGCACCAGATGACATCAGATCCAGGCTACAGAAAGAGTGCTTGCCTTACAAGAGGATCAAATGAGATAATGTAGGTAGTAAACTATATGGACCGTAAGAAATAGAATACCATGCACAGACAAGGAAGCTTGAGAGGGATGTGACCATGGGAGGTCGAAGAAAATGGCACAGGGTTCAACTCTTAACTGTGCCCTAGCAGAATGACCCATTTGTGATCTCTACAGAAGGTGGCATGGCACTATGGGAGGAGTCCTAGAATGACGCCGGGAGCCCTGGGTCCTGGTCCAGGAGGCCCCAGTGAATTGCTGTGTGACCTGGTTTCCTGCTTCATAGAATGAAGAGGTTGGACTAGATGCACTTTTAAGTCCCTTCCAGTTCCAGCTTTCTGCAATTTTCTGCATCAGCAACTCCCTTTGTTCTGCACCTCATACCCCTGGAGGTGTTCTTGGAAGTGTAGAATTGAATCAGACTTATTCACTTCCCAGTGCCTGCTTCCCCGTATCAAGGGCCTAAGATGGAGTAAGGATTATGATGAACTCCAAATCACAGAATCTTAGAACTAAAATAGACCCTGATGGGAGGGGACATGGCCCAGCAACCACACTTTACAGACGAGGAAGATTTGCACAAAGTCGCAGAGAGTGAGTGGCAGGGCCAAACTAGAGCCCAGTCTGATTCCCAGTCAAGGTCTCATTGTAATACACCAAACTTCTAGCCTCTTTCACATTTAAGCAAATATTGAATGAAGTCCAAGTGCTTTAAATTACAGATGAATGTCATCAAACAGACATAGGATTTCTCATATTAGTTCTTCCTGTCAGTCTCCTAATATAATCTCCAGTGCTTAAGCACAGTGTCTGGCACTTATAAATGTTTATTGACTGACTAATGGATCAATGGGGGAGCAAATATCTGATTTTTAGGTTTCTAGGGAAGGAAAAACTGTTTCATTTTTGTTTGGTTTTGGTGGTAGAGGAGGTAAAACAAGTTCAAATCCAGTGTGAATTTTTTCTTGGTAGGTGAAAAAAGTTCCTTTTTAAAAAATCTGTTAAAGGCTGTATTAACATTATATTTTCTTTCTCCTCCAGGTCATGTATGGACTGTTGGTTTTCGCTCTAGTACTGCGATCTATTTATATTGTTACATGGTGAGTCTTACAACATCAGCACTATATTGCTAGTTTGACTGAAGTGTGACAATTGCATATGATCTTGCATATGAGACTGCTCTTTAACAGTTTTTCTTTTTTAATTCAACAATGAGCATCATGAATTGTTCTTGAGGACTACAGCAATGCTAAAAGAAAGGGGAGGGGCATTTGTTCAACAAATGTACCTGTTATGTGTCTCTGCCCACCAGCGAGCTTACAAAGGATAGTTCGAGGGCTTGGCATATATAGTGCTATAGCTGGAAAAGGACCTTTCTTTTTATGGATGAGGAAACTGAGTCTCAGAGAGGACAGTGACTTGCCCACAAGCCCACAGCTAATGAGAGGCAGAGCTGGCTTGAACCTCGGTCTTACTGACTACACCTCCAGTATCCTTTCAGAATTTTCTGGCATCCTTCTTCACTCAGCTGCCAAAGTAAGATCCCTGGAGGGCCGATCTGACCGTGACACTCCACAATTCAGTAAACTCCAGCAGCTTCCAGTCACCTCGAAGATCTGATATAAAATCGTTTGTTTGGCCTTTAAAACCCTTTACAACCTGGCCTCTTCCTCCCTCTCTAGTCTCCTTACACTTTCCTGCCTTCCAAATACTTGATGACCCAGTAACATTGGCTTACTTCTTGTTCTTCACACACAACACTCCATCTCAAGTCAAGTCAACAAGCATTTATTAAATAGCACTTAATATATGTGAGGCACTGGGCTAAGTGGTGGGGATACAGAGAAAGACAAAAACAGTTTTGCCCTCAGGGAGCTCATGTTCTAATGGGAAAGACACCAAGCAAACAACTCCATCCATACAAGATATACATAAGGTATATCTGAAGGTATACACTGAGGTTGTCTCAGAGGGAAGGCACCAACATTTACCTTTTCTCTTCCGTGCCCACAGTGCTCTCCTTCTTGTCTCTGCCTCTTGGCTTTCCTGGCTTCCTTCAAGACTCAGCTGCCAATGATGTTCAATGGGTTGACTGCCAAGGCTTGGAATTCTAAAGGCTTTGAAGAGAGAACGGAGGGAATTTTTAAGGAGCCAATGACTTTTTCTGTATTTTTCCAAATCTTTTAAAATCCTAGGAAAACTGGCAAATTTTAGCATAGTAATTGTGTAAACCTGCTGTGGATTTCCAGCTTGGTATAATAGAAAGAGGTTGGAAATAATAACTGACAAACAATTGAAAGGGGATCTTGACAAATTGTAAGAGCCGAGGGCTTGTCTTCATCTCACATCGTGCAGATGACTTGCCCCTCCATCCCCTCCTTCACCCCTGTCTCACATGAAGAGCTGGCCCTCCTCACCAAGGCAAACCCCTCTAGCTGCAGAGGGGTCCCATCCCATCTCATCTTCTCCAGCAGATTATCCCCTCTCTCCTACTTCCACTTATCTTCAAGCTCTCCCTGTCTGTGGCTGCTTCTCTAGCGCCTACAAACATGCCCATGTCTCCTCCATGCACAAAAACCCTTCAGATGACCCCTCCATTCCAATAGCTATCACCCTATATTTCTCCTACCTTTTGTGGCTAAACTCCTTGAGAGGTCATCTATAGTTGGTGTTTCCACTTCCTTTCCTTTCACTGTTCTTAACTTTCTGCAGTCTATCTTCCAACGTAACAAGACTGTAGGTGGTTCAGTGAATAGAGCACCTCACCTAGAGTCAGGAAGACCTAAGCTCAAATCCAGCCTCATATACTTACTAGCTGTGTGATCTTGGGCACTCAACTGCTGTCTGTCTCAGTTTCCTCAACTGTAAAATGGGGATAATAATAGTATTTCCCTCCTGGGGTTGTTGTGAGAATCAAATGAGATAATATTTGTGAAGTGCTTAGCGTGGTGTCTGACACATAGTAAGTGCTTAATAAAGGCTGTTTTCTTCATGATAATAGTTGGTGTTTTTATACATTTTCCATGTGTTGATTGGATTTGTAGATTTTTTCCTGCCTTTTTTCTTTAAAAAATATTCTTTTTTATATATTATGTAAATATGTCAATAATTTTTTTTCGAAGAAAGAGCAGAAACTAAGAAATGAGAAGATGTAGTTTCTCGTTCTAATTCTGTTCCTTTCTCAGCATGACATTGAGCAAATCTCTTCTCTTCTCCTGGGCTTATCTTAGTTTTCTCCCCTATCAAATAATAACAATAACTCCCATTTTTTGTAGTTCTTTTTGGTTTACAATAACAACCACCAGGGAAGGTAGGGATTAAAAGAATTTCTATCCCCATTTTACAGATGAAAAAACTGAAGTGACCTGCCCAAGATCATGTCTAAATAGTGATAGAGTTGGAACACAAGCTTAAATCTTCTGATTTGCAATCCATTTGTCTGTCTGTTCTACCCTGCTGTCTCGCAGGAACTTGCATTATGATCTTTAGGGTCTGCCAGTTCAGTAATCCCATTACTCTGCTTATGTCTGAGTTTGTCTACAATATCCTTGACAGTGTTTTTCTTTTTTTTTTCATCCTAAAGATAAGGTTGGAACAACTTAGGAAAAAATTGAAAACCTATTCTTCCCCACCCCAGACTTACAGCACCTGAGGAAGAGATATTCAGAGTCCCAAACCTTGAGAGTCACTTTGCACATCTCTGAGAACACTGGCGTACAGAGATCACGACAGTGACTAGAAGAGATCAGGATTTGACACCAAACGTTGCCCTAGAACCTTCCCCTTCATGAGGCTGTACAAACTCTGAGCTGTCAGAGAAATGTAATACAGGGGTGGGGAACCTGCAGCCTCAAGGCCACATGTGGCTCTCTAGGTTCAAGTGCGGCCCTTTAACTGAATCCACACTTCACAGAACAAATATTCAGTCAAAGGACAGCACTTGAAGACCTAGAGAGCCACACGTGACCTCAAGGCCACAGGTTCCCCATCCCTGAATCAGAATGATTTCCTTATTTCCATCACATTTCCCATCATGCCATCAAATATTTAGGCAGTATTTTACACAAATTTCCAATTTGCACTTTGATCTTGAAATAAAACTTTACTTTCTGAAATCTGAGGATTTATACAGAGACACATATTCATTCAACAAGTATTTGAGTGCCTAATATGCTTGAGGTCCTGATGCTGTGTTCTATGTGGAAAATGAAGATGAAGGTAACTTATCTCATACTGTTTTCCCATACCTCACTTTCCCCTATTCTCGTCCAGCTTTCTTTTTATATTCCTTTACTCAGTGCTATCCATTATTCCTGGAGTGGACTCCTCCTCCCTCCACAAACTTTTTCTCCATCTGTTGAAACGCTTCCCATCCTTCAAGGATGTGCCTCCATGAAGCCTTCCCTAACCATTCCTTGCACCCCACCCCAACTGAAAGTAATCTCTCCCTCCTCAAATTTCTTGTGTCCCTTTGGTTAACTACCAAGATTCACCTCACCTATATTATAGGTATTGGTGTATTTGTACTTTTCCCTATTATATTTTAAATCTTTGAGAGCAAAATCTGTGTCATAACTGTCTTTTTAGCCCCTATACCAACCACAGGGCCTCCCCAAATTTTAGACACTTAATATGTACTTGTTAAATTAAATTAAAAGAATATATATGGTTCCTACCCTCAGGGAGCTCCAAGTCCAGTAGCTTATAGATAGACACACACACAATGTACACTTCTAACTTTTACTCACAGAACCAAAAGTTTTATACTTGGAAGGGATGAAACACACAGTGTGGTGCAAATGAAAACAACTTTTTAATATAGGTTTTTTAATATGCATGTTTTTATTGTTAGAAAATCCAATTGTCCATTCCCCAAAGTCATATAATTTTAAAGTTGGAAAGGACCTTAGCAGCCATCTGGTCCAACTCATACTTGAGATAGAATCCCCTTCACGTCATATCCAATAAATTGTCACCCAGCCTCCACTTCAAGACCTGGTGGAGGGGAAACTCGCCACCTCCCACGACCGTCCATCTCACTTTGGGAAAGCTCCAGTGGTTAGGAAGGCTCTTCTCCAGTCAAGTCTAAATTTGCCTCTTTTCCCTTTGGGGCCAACTAGAATAAGGTTGATTTCTCTTCCATTTAAAAGGATAGCCTTTTAAATACTTGATGAAAGTTATCTATATCTTCCCTAAATCTCTAAATATCTCCAGTTCTTTCTTTCTCTCTTCATTTCACATGAAGTTAGGGCTCTTCACCATCTTGATTGACTTGCTCTAAACCCTTTCCAGTTTATTGATATCCTTCTTGCCTGAGTGAAACATAATATTCCACATGTAGTCTGATAAGGAGAGAATACAATTAAATTATCACCTCTCTGTTGTTGTTGTTGTCAGTTGTGTCTGACTCTTCGTGACCCCATTTGGGATTTTCTTGGCAGAGATATTGGAGTGGTTTGCCATTTCCTCCTCCAGCTCATTTTATGGATGAGGAAACTGAGGCAAACAGTGTTAAGTGACTTGCCCTGGGATCACACAGCTAGTAAGTGTCTGAGGCCATATTTGAACTCAAGAAGATGAGTCTTCTTGACTCCAGGCCCAGTACTCTATCCATTGTGTCACCTAGTTGTCCATCACCTCTCTAGAATTGAATAATATACTTCTCTTAATGCATCCTGAGATTGCATTAGCTTTTTTGGTTGCTATTTCACATTGTTGATTTATATTGAGCATGTATTCTACTAAAAGCCCTAGATCCTTTTCAGATTACTGTTCAACAGAATCTTCTTGTGAAGTTGACTTTTTAAAGATATTACTATTATTCAACAACAGACATTTCTTAAGCCCCCAGGACACTGGGGATACAAAAACAAAAGCTGAGGAGGACAGTCCCTGACCTCAAGGAACTTACATTCTCCACAAAACACAGTAAATGCCAAGTATAATGCAAAGTAATTGAAATAAGGGAGAGTATTATCAGCTGGGAAGGGGGGAGGCTTCCTGGAGGAGGTGGCTCTACAGCTAGGTCTAGAAGAAACCAAGTGATTCCAAGACACAAAGGGATATTCCAGCCATTGGCACATGTTCTGCACTGTTTCAA